TTATGGGATACGATTTTTTTTATACATCGTTGGATGAAATTTGGGTTCACCGTCACGCCAGTTTACGCTTAAAGAACTTCTCCCCTGAAACCGAGCTTTGCCGCTCCTGAAACCGAACTTCTCTTCTCCTGAAACTAAAGGCCTCCGCCTCTGAAACCGAACTTCGTCACTAAAACCTAACTTCTCCACTTCTGAAACAGAGTTTCTTTCCTCTTGAATCCAAATTTTTCCTCTCCAGAAACATAACAGCTTCTCTCCTGAAAGCGAAGTTTTTAGTTCTGAGTACCGAACTTGTCACAGATGCAAATGATAATTATTTTGGAACTGATGAATTAGGCAAGGATATCCTGGCAATGTTTACAGAAGCCAAGCAGATTTACGTGATGTTGACTTCTCGAGACGGCCCTTAATAACAGTAACCAATACGATTAATTACTTATCAGTCAATTTACATGACTACTATAATATTATGAATTTAAAACAGTGAAGCGTGAACCGGATGTGTGTTACATCACCGGTCGAAATCCTCCAAGAAATAAACGATCTTGAAATTTGTTCTATAAGCTCGAAAATAAGTGTGTATAGCTCGTTGACAGTCTCCTTTTCTTCAGAAACACTTTGTAGAGAACGTGAAATCAGAAACGTGGCAAATTTTGACCCAAATTGAATATGACGGACTATTTATTAATTTGCCTTGAAGAATACATAGAGAATTCGATACATTTGAGTTAATGTTCCCTGTTTTGAAACATCTGTACTTTTTAATAAGATATTAGATCGAATTTCGGGCCCTCATTGCTCGGAAGAACGGGAAAATACCAAAGGTCCTCCCAAACAAGTTAACAGAACTTCCTCTTCGTAAGAGTAATCAAAATTCGAAACAGCGATTAGCCAGTTACATTCACTTGTGATTATGTTAGACCTCTGCTGTTATACCATGCGGGGTTAGCTTCGTATAGCATTGATAATCGACCCGTCGCCGAAAGGGCTTGCCAATTTGATTACAGCAAAATAAACATTTTGATCCAGAATTCCAGATACTGAGAATTTAGTAGCAAAGGCATAGTGACAACGTTCTATTTTACATTATTAAAGTAAAGTAATTTTTTAATGCTAGTGGGGTGGGACTAAGTCCCTTGTACTGCGGCCACTTCTGGCCTATTGTACCAGCCCCAGATGATAGGTGAGGGTGATTGTGGAGCAATTGGTAGAATGAAGATTGGCAGGGGAAACCGAAGTACTCGGAGAAAACCTGCCCCAGCGCCACTTTGTCCACCACAAATCCCACTTGACCAGA